TAAGTACCAATGCCTTTGCTAATCAAAATAATACAAATAATGGTAATTATTTAGAATACGGGCCTCATCTTCGATTTTGATGAAATTGGGCTCATAATAAACAATATTATTCTCCAAATAAATTCACAGAATAATATTGTTTATTTGTGTATTTTTAGGTCGCAACACACACATGAAGCTAGCGGAGAATTTTGTTGCAGAAGTTTTTGTGAAGAAACAGGCCGAAGTTATGAAGAATGCACATGTTTGATGATACAATGTATGCACAACTAGATTATATAAAACTATGGGAAAAGGAAATGATGGAAAAAGATTACTAGCATCAGACTTCCATTTTGGAGACCTTTATGAAAGGATTACAAACAATGCAACCAGTCAACTTCCAGAATATATTTTGAATATAACAAAAGTTTTAATTAAATCGTCAAATTTAGTCAAATAGATAAAATTAGGAAAAGCATTACTGGTAATAACTAGTAATTTTTACGGAAATTTCATGGGATTACGGCTCCATGGGACACAAGAAGGTAAAACACACGTAACGTTACGGACGCAATACCTAGCAACTTTTGCAGACATCCGGTGTGGATTACGGATTACGGGCTGTATGTGACGGCACCCTTATTCTTGTTATTCACCGAATATTAAACAAGGATAAATAATGCATTATGCACAATAAGAAATGGAACGCATCCTACTTCCTCAACTAATGCTGTATATGGAAATAATTTGTACAAAATATGATAGATGGCTCTAATTCGGACCAGCGTGGACTAAATATGACCCAATCAATTTTTAAATCCCTTTCGGTGTAAACGGTTGGTGACTAGACCTACTTTGAGTCACGATATAGGTCAGGTCGCTATCAGTCGTACGGTGTAAACGTAGCCATAATCATCCCGCGGTCTTGGACGACCCGTTCGGTCGTCTTGACGACGCCGTAAAGTCACTAGATTTATAAAGTACCGCAAACTCTTTCAGAAATGATGCATCAAAATGGCCGAAGTGCACATAGTACATGATTCGAACTACACCAACGTACATATTGGGTCAATTGGATGCAGCTAACCTTACCGTACATTTCTTCAAGACATTTTCAAGCGTCAATATCGATGTTGAAGGCGTAAATTTATCATTGAGAGAGAGGAGAATCAGGCTTTACTTATATGCAATCTAATCAGTAAATTCTTACAAACAATGAATGAAACTCAACATTCACCTCTTATAAAATTTGTCTTCTTTCGGTGATATATCTTCTTTTTTCGGTACGACAACGAACAGCTAGTCAAACGAGGAAATAGAATCTTGATATAAAGAAATAAATGTAGGTTATGATATCACTCGGTAACCCTCAAAATCTATGTGTGACTAAATCCACGATTGTAGTCAGCCACTTTTAAAAAATACTGAGATAACTCGGGAAAAACACATTTACCCTGGCTAAATAATATCTTAAGAATGCTCAAGCTCGTGCAGTAATCACACGTGTGACGTGTACTTTTGTATTCCTGAACAGTTCCGAACTGTACTTACACGTATCCTTCGTGCATTTTTATGCACAAAACTTCTACAACAAATAAATCTATATTAAATTAAAGAACACATAAATTAAGCATTCCTATATTCTTTGGTCATAAATAAACTAATTACAATTCAACAACATTGATTTACGTACTCGAAGGCTTCATTTTCACAAATAAAGTATACAAATGCGTGAATTTGAAATGGCCGCGTTTTGCGTCAAAATGGATGCGAGTTTGCGGTACTTTATAAATCTAGTGACTTTACGACGCCATAGACGCAGGCGCCCGATGTTCGAACGGGTTTAGCCATTTTCGCTTGTGTTGCATAATTTTTTTAATACACGGAAAACAATCATAAACGTGATCTGGCTGTATCGACCTCCTATTTGTTTGGAAGCGGGAGCCATAATTAATTAAAAAGAAGATGACTATATACCCGCATCTTATCTTTTCGCTGCATTTTGCAGTTGTGACAGATTAACCTTAATTTTTTAACCTTAATCGTCAACTTTAACGATTAATATTTCAGTTCACAAAACAGAGCGATACATTTTTCTTGTCAAATCTTTATTTTTACACCTCGATTTAATATATTTTTATTAAAATTTGAGGTGGACGAGCTCTTAATATTTACCATAAATTGTATATTTTATTGAACAAATTGCGAAGGAAAGATGTGTTCGTTAAACAATTGCATATTTGATGGTAACGATGATGACATAGCTAGAAACAGAAAAAAAGATTTACCATCGTAAGTATAATAATGACAAATAAAAAAGAAAAAATAAGATTGATATAGATTGATGATATTTGTTTTCAACAGAGATAGGACACTATGCAGAAAATGCAGATGCGAAAACGCCGATATTTTATTACTTGGTCAAAGTGGTTATTGCAAAACTTGTTTCCTAAATGTTACAAACCACAAGTTTAGAGCAGCACTCGGTAAATCTAAAATTATTCGCCATGGTGAGAAAATATTGATTGATCACTCAGGGGAATTAAATTCTACCGTGCTCTTACATCTCATTAAAGCTGGTATGAGTGAATCTGCTCACAAAAGACTTATTTTTGAGACAATAATTTTGTATGTAGATGGTAAGTCTCCTATATAAATCAAGAATTTTGGTAATTATATGATAAGAGGAACCATCCTACGATGACTTCGATATGTTATTAAGATCATGGTGGAAGGATACAAAGTGTATAATTGTACATAATGACAGTAATAGAAGAGAAACAACCAATCAAATGTTTGTTACAAATCAACTGCAAAAACAACATTAATACCATTTGACAGCTGACTCAGCGTCAATTGTTTGCGCTGTTCACAGCTGATACTGGCTGTGTTCAGTAGAGAAAGCTTTGCATCTGTTGTAAAATTCTTCAATATGATTGATTTATACGTTTAGATCTATAAGGAACCAAAAGCAAGAACTAATCATATTGAAGAATTTTACAATAGTTGCAAAGCTGCTCAAATGCAGCCATTGCTTTTTAACATTTGTAATCGATTTCTGTTTGGATTTATAATGGATGACTGTGCATTAATAGGAATGATAGATACATCTTAAATGTGTTCCGTTATTCACTGCAAGTACTGAAAATCTGTAGTTCACATTACATATACTACAGATTTTCAGTACTTATAGTGATTAACAAAATACAATCTTTGTATCCTTTTAACATAAACAAGATTATGATACTGCAAGTGTAAAGCTGTCAGCAGTGAACGAAAAAAGATGAAAAGTGATTCTTTTCACAAAAAAGTGACTAAAAAATGATAAAAATAATCATAATTAAAATACATGGTAGTTAGTGTTACTCAAATTGATTATTACTTTGAATAAATTCAATATATACATAAAAAAAAACAATTAAAACACGTATTTATTTCTGTGTAAAGGAAAATCTTAAACATGACTTATTTTTTGGTACCAATCATATTCAGTACAGAAAGTTTTTACTTAAAATAATTTAAGAATGAGTAAAATATGTAATTTTATGTGTCAAAGGCATGAAAATCTAGTATACATCCTAGAATATAGTTCGTTGTAATTGAGCTACAAATTGTATTTATTCAATATTTTCACGTTAAAAAAAAAATTAATCATATATTCATTCAAAATTTTAAGTTTTAAAAAATATTTAGTCACAAAAAAACTATGATTATTTAACGAATATTCATATTCATTTAAGTATTCAAACTAAATATAAATTGAAAAAGAAAGCTCCAATAAGCAATCGTTACCTTTTAACTATAACCGGTTCTTTGATGATTTTAAATTAAAAAGAAATGAATTTTATTTATTTTTGATGTAATATTTAGATTTTGATGAGGAAAACTCAGAAATTAAAAAAATATATTTTAGAAAGCAATACATTTGTTATTTATAAGTATAATATATTTGATGACATATAATTTTACATAAGTCTTCATTTGAGATAACATATAATTTTATATATTAAATTGTTATTTGAGATGACATTATTTTTATCGTCATTTCGTTAACTATGTATTGTGCCGTGTCAATAGTCTGTCATCTAGCATCAGAAAAAATGAATGAAAATACCCATTTTGCTATATGCAGATAATACAGAGTAGAAATCAATGCTAAAATGAAAATATTTGTAATCATATTCAAAAAGTATTCATTCAAACGGAATGAAAAAGTATTTACTCATTTCTTAACGAATAAAAAAGAAATGTATTCGAATGGATATTTTCATTCATTTTTTATTCATTTATTCGAATATTAGGTGTATTTATCGGGTACACCTCGCTTTGTGTAAAATCATTACATAAGCAGGGAAGGACGTAGAATAGTTCTTAATATTATATGTAGCAGAAATAAGACATTATTTAAAAAATTGTTTATTAATAACTTTTTGAGGAACAATGATCGCTCCATTACTGTATAATTAGCAGAATATTTTATCATATTCAATTTTTTATCATGTATTTTTTTCACCATGTGAAATTTTAAGATCGAGACAAATTCTGTATGTGTGTTAACAGATAATATGCAAAAAACCAATGAAAGGAGTATACTACAACATAAAATTGCTGAGGAAACGAAGGTCTCTGGATTTAACAGTTATGCTATATCAATAAGTCAAGTTTTAAACGAAGAGGATACTTGGAATATAAAACCGATAGATCAAGAGATAAATTATGAAAATGATAATCGACTGCATGCGATATTGACTGATTTATCGGACAATACCTCAAGGACGGATTTTCTCAATCAGTTGCGTCGAAAACTACTCCTATCGGCAGCTCGGAAACTTAATTGTAACAAGATATTTGTAGCTGATTCTGCTACGAACATTGCTACGAAAGTACTTAGTGATGTATGCCTAGGACGAGGCGCACAACTTTCCACACAAGCAAACTTTTGCGATGCTCGTACCGACATTAAGATACTCAAACCGATGAGAGATTTTACACAGCAGGAAACAGAGTACCATAAGATAAAACCTGTTAAATCAATAGAAGACAGTATACCGGCAACTTCTATACAGGCATTAGCATGCAATTTTACGATAGAACTGGAATCTCAATTTTCTGGTACAATATCCACCGTATTCCGCACAGCTGATAAAATAAGTCCGAGGAGCAACGTACAGGAAAGTATAGAAGATAATTGCGCACTTTGTGATGCAAGATTGAACTTTATCCCTTCTGGTAATGAAGTGACTGCCATGAGAGCAATCGAGGTTTCCAAATTGATGTCTTCCAAATGCATCGATACAATAAGTTCTTCTAATAATGAAGAAAACGGAGAATCAAATTATCTCTTTACATACTCGGATAATAATGGATGCTGTAATGATAATGCCAACTGTAATTGTGAGAATAGAGAGAGACAAATAACCACAGAGGACGTTTGGAGACATCTCTGTTATAGTTGTAGACAAATATTTCGAAATTCGGATATTTTACACAATTTGCCACTACCATTGTTACTGGCCGTTCAACAAAGAGCAGCTTTAAAGAAAATGAGAGAAAAAATCAGTGACTTCTTGTTATGAATAGAAATAAAAGAATTTTTGCTTCAAAATTTAGCGCACAAGATGATAAAAACTGAGACATTTATACATTAATAGGATAGTAAATCGATTAGTGTAGGTTCTAAAAAATTGGATCAAAATAAATAAAAAGCCGGCGCAAGATATTGTTGCAAATTATAATTTATTCTATATAATATTACATATGATTCTACTCACGGTTAGGGTTCTCTTCAGTACTTAAAATTAAAACGATACAGTGAACTTTCTACATTAAGTTAACGAAAAAGATCAATGTATTATATGCAATTTAATGCAACTGTTTAGACCTCAAGATATAAATTGTATAAAGGAATTAAACAATGTATAAACAACGAATTATAATTCGCAACATCTTGCCCAGGCCCTTAAAGGCTTAATCTTTATTCATTATGGTGGAAATGTAATTAGAGTAACTTACTTAAAATACAATAATGCGTTATTATTTGTATTTCATGTATTAAATTATTTGTTATTGTATGCATTAGTTTTTTCGCAAAACAGAAACCTTCATCTTTATTTATTTAAATCTTCCTCCGTTATTATTTATCATTTCTGTTGAATTACGCTCATGTTGCTCATGTTGGTATACCTATTCTAATTAGTCAAACACTGAATTTAGAACAATAATAAGATTGAAAGACCGCTAATGTTAAACATAATAATTTTAAATTAAGAAGCGCCATAACGGTCAGAACGTTAAGATGTTGAACTATTGTAAATTCATTTAAATGAATTAATTTCAGAAATGATAATTGCGTGCCGATATGGTTGTCGGACTTTCAACGCAATCAAATCTGAAAATATTAATAATCCCCCAAATTCCCCAACTTAAAAACTGTAATAAAACTTATTGCGAAAAATAATGCCTCGGCCGGGAGTCGAACCCGGATCTCTTGCATTCCGTGCGAGCGTCCTAAGCCTTTAGACTACCGAGACTGAATTTAGAAATTTTTGCCAGATAAAAATAGTTTTCGAGACAAATAGTTTGAAGAAATGAGAAGACAAATTGCATAAGATATTTGTTGACATAAAGTTCGTTCCGTTTGCTAAACGTTTGACAGTTCATTTTTCTTCCTTTTTTCTCCGCAAAGAAGAACAGAGAAAAGGGATGTATCATGCAAGAAATTCAGCTAAAAAGGACAAGTCTATAGACATTTTTTATGCAGACATTTTCTTAACTGCTGCTTTTTCTGTAAAATTTTGAGTAACTTTTATTCGCATGTCTGTAATGACAGTTTTGATTTCCCGCTACCGCCGTAAAGACATCTGGGGATCGATTGTGTATCTCGAAATGAGATGAAAATTACAAAAGTGAGTCAATTCACTAGAATATTCATAATTTAATTGGTCAATATGTAATGAATTTGTTCACTTTTGTAATTTTCACCTCATTTCAAGATACACAATCGATTACCTGTTCTTTTTTCACCCCAATTTTTGAACTATATAAAATACACTTGTGCAAGAAGGCCATAGAACACAAAAAAAACTTAAGCAGTAAAACGTAAGCAGTAAAGCCCATGGCACATATAAAAACGTAAGGCCGTAAGACATAATCAGTATGCGAATTGGCCAATCACGATAGAGACCGTAAGGCCAGTAGCGAATCCAATCTAATGCGTGGTCTACAATGGGCAGTAGTAGTAGTGAATTAAGGAGTAGGTGCAGAAATCGACTAATCATAGTTGATTATCTTTCTCACATTCGATTATGATTGATTTCTGCGTCTACTCCTTAATCCACTACTGCTACTCCCCATTGTAGACCACGCATTACGTGTGTTTTACGGGTGCTATTACATGAGCGCGGAAACGCGGAAATGCGGAATCGCGTAATCAATCAGAAGCAATCCGCTGTTATGGTTTCGCGTTTCATCGATTACTGATTGGTTGCGCGTTTCCGCGTTTCCGTGTTTCCGCGCTTATGTAATGACACCCTGAGGGTGCCATAATACATTTTTAACGCGACATTTGCATTTAACAAATAAAATATAATTATTTTAAAAAATAATTATATTCTATATTATCTATTGACTAAATTTGACGATTTAATTAAAACTTTTGTTATAATCAAAATATATTCTGTAATTTTCTTATAAAATAAAATAAAAATGAACCGTATATTCTAGTGCAGTCTAGTGCACGTCAGAAAGCAGACTATTTGTTGTATTTGCACTACAAATTGACCAATTACAATTGAATGTAAGAAGAATAATCGATTGTGATTGGTCAATTTCTTACTTTTAGTCTCATCCATTACTGACACTGCCATTGGCTACGTTTACACTATGCGTTTAGTCCGCGACCTATACGATAGATGTCTTTGTTTAACCTACAGGATAAACACTAAATGCACGGTGTAAACGTAGCCATTGTAGATGACGCATTAGAGTGCTATTACATGAGCGCGGAAACGCGGAAATGCGGAATCGCGTAATCAATCAGAAGCAATCCGCTGTTATGGTTTCGCGTTTCATCGATTACTGATTGGTTGCGCGTTTCCGCGTTTCCGTGTTTCCGCGCTTATGTAATGACACCCTTAGTTCTGTTAAACAATAGAGTCGCAATTCGTAAGAACAGGTCTAAGCCGTAAGAAATTAATCAATCATAGTCGATTATTTTTGTCATATTCAACTGTAATTAGCCAATTTTTTACGACTTACGAATAGCGACTCTATGTGTAACAGGTTTTAAGATTTTTGCGTGCTATGGCCCTAAAAAGAACAGACCTACATCAACCTGATCGACCTAACTTAATGTCGATTGCTGGTTATGTAAAAATAGGGAGGTTGTTTTCTACGCGTTAAAGTTTCTCTAAGAATTTTAGAACGTAAATAATAATTACAAAAAGCGAGATATTGTCTATCTGTATCGGTATGTAATATCATTCTCTCGTTTTTGCATGCATAACAAGTTACATTATTATACTTTTCTGTAGAGATAGATTATCTTCTCATGTAAAAAAATTGTTTGTCAAATCATTTCCAAACAACATAAAGTCTAAAATTAACATAAGACGTCTTTAAGTCATCTTTTAGATGCAATAAGCGTCTTATGACCCGATTTAGATACTTTCTCAATTGAGGTTATTTTTGTAATGCGAGTAAATTGCAATAAGTTTTATTGTTTGACAATGTATATAAGATAAGTTTCATTATTTTCTTTGGCATCATTCACTAGCTCATCAAAAATCTTGATTATATATTTAGTCTAACTTTGATAGATGATTAACTTGTACCAATGCCATTGGTAACATGAATAGAATTATCAATACAGTCGAGAGTGGATTGAAATTTTTTCTATCTGAATATGTCATTTTAAATAGCGAATACTTTTTTTTTATTTAATTGGATTCAATTAGATTCAAATGCAATTGAATTAAAAAACTGTATTTCCTATTCAAAATTTTGAATTGAACAGTATATTCACAATGCACAGAAAAAGCTGATATTATTTTTAGATTGAAAGACATAGAGATATACTCCATGCAATTCCTACAAATGAATAAAAATGTATTCAGGATTGAAAAGCATTCATTTTAACATTCGTGAATCCATATTTCTGAAAATCTAAATCCATTTCACAATCCATTTCAATCCATTCTCGTTTACTAGCAGCTATTTTTATATAATGGGATTTATATGAGAGAAAAGATTGGATTAAAAGCAAAGAATTATATGGAAATTTTGCTTCAAGTAATTCTACCATTTGAATTAGTTGCTAATTAAATTAATTAGAGTTTGGATGAAGTCATACTCATAGGGGTCATAACTTTTCGGAATCGATTTGATTCTCATTGAAATATGTTACTAAATACAAAAATCTAAGAGACATTTTTATTATATATTCAGTTTCAGATTTAAGACATGAAACAAACCCCCAAAATTAATGGGAATAATGGTATTTTCAAAATATTATATTTTTGAAAAGTCTGAATACAGTTAAAATATATAAGAAACCATAAAAGAAGTTTTGTTTAAAACATTTTTCTGTATATTATCATATTGCTGATTCATAGAAATCAAATATGCATTAGTTTTAAGGGATTGTTTCATCACTTAAATCTGAGATTGGGCTAGTATAAAAAAATATAATATCTTTTGTGTTTATAATAATATATTTTAAAGAGAATCGAATCGGTTACAGAATGTTGTCACAGACTCGTCAGTCATACTCAAAAAGATCACATTAGAACTTTATATTTTAACCTTCAATGGTCACAAGGAATGGGACACCAACAAAAGTTACTGAATCTGAAGATAATACGGTAGTGTCTCGGCGCTAAGCCAAGTGCAGCGACACTGCTGTGCCTTTATGCGAGTCGGCGAGTTACGGTTTTCTTTACATTATTATTTCAATATTAGACTTGTAGCATCCCCAGTAAACGAGGATGGATTGAAACGGATTTACTTCTTCAGAAAAACGCATTCATGAACGTGTTAAGTGAATCCTTTTCAATCCAAATTCATTTTATTCTTTTATAAAATTATATACAATCATCAGGCAGTTCTAAAATACGTTATCGTGAATTGAAAAACATAATTATTTAATTCATTTAGTACTTCTCAATTTAAAATTTTGAATAGGAAATGCAGTTTTTTAATACTTGAATTTGATTGGATAGAAAAATTGTGTTTCCTATTTAAAATTTTGAATTGAGAAGTATTAAATGAGTTAAATAATTACAGTTATATTTTTCAATTCACGATAACGTATTTTATAACTGCCTGATGATTGTATATAATTTTATAAAAGAATAAGAATATGTTCAGATTGAAAAGGATTCACTTAACGTTCGCGCGCGCGCGAATGAGTTTTTTTGAAGAACTGAATCCGTTTCAATCCATTCTTATTCACTGGGTCACTTGTTATGTCGGCAACAATTCCTTCTACGCGACCATATATCCAAATGCTGCCCGAATGTGTTGGTTCATATTCGAGAGTTATTAATGGAAAATTTTAGAAAAATTTAAGAAGCTTCTTTTTCCTTCTTTCCGAATTAGTTTCCGAAATATTCCGGGCAATTTTCCAGACATCCTGTGATATATATAGATATATATATCCGAAGTATATCTTGCCGAGCGTTTGAAAAGCATCGCAGGTAACAAATTCTAGTCCCCACTGCTGGGATTTACTACATATTTTGGATTGTCAGCTTTGTTCGCCCCTTGCTAATACATTTAGGCTACGCTCGAGTCGGTGAAGCAAGAGGCAAGGACCAAGCTGAAAATCAGCCGAAATGTGTAACTAAATCCCAGCTCTGAAATAGACGATACCTTGCTACATTGCGATCGCACATACTATACATCTGCGTTGATTATGCAGGTTAAAATCTTTAATGTTTTTAAGATATTAACTTTTTTTATATTTTTTCGCCTTCTCCTTATTAGTAAAAAATAGACTTCTTTCTCAGAATTTGTTTCGTTTTTCTTTCTCAAAAATTACCCTCTTTGTATCTCAAAATAAATATCTTTTTTTGAAATACGCACTATGATACTTATTTTTTTTTAAAGTGCAACATCTAAAGAAGATATTATATTCTTCAGATGTTGCATTTGACGATTATCCGTTTATCTGAGTATCCGGATATCCGAGATAGAAATAGAACCGAGATAAAATATTCGATTGAAGCGAATCTTTCGGATTCTCCCTATAATCACATAGAATATTTTATAGTAAGAATCATGCTAAAATACTAAAACTCTAAAATACTGACTGATATGTTATGAGTTGTGATTTCTAAAAATACTGTATTTTTCAGATATACATCATGATAGACCACGATAATATCCTTTGGATGAAATGGGGTGCGCCCATGTTCAAAGGACCTCCCACAGATGTCTTTCTTCATGTACGCAATTTTCAAACTCATAAATGCGGGCCATATGAGCTGATGTATATGGACTGCATGGAGGCATACGGTTATCATAGAGGCAAGGAAAAGTGTCGGTTGATACTCGAGGATTTGTATGAATGTGCAATGGGTATAAAAAGACAGCGTCGCCTGTTAGCTATGAACAACGAGCGAAAGCGGCAGTTTAAAAACGGCGAAAGGGAAAAACTTTACGACGAAACTCCGCCCCTCGATCTGTATTAAATCATCCGCAGGAAATATGCATAGTTTATGTGTAAATGTATCATATTAAAAGGATTAATTTGATAGATGACAAAAGCGTTTTGTACAGAAATGTTAAACCTGCCATACCAGTTCATTGCTTTTGAATTTTCTTTCTTTTTCTGAAAATTTCTGTTCGAATATATCAGTTAGGTCTGCGGCACGATGCTCGTTTTCCTACTGGATTCTTAACCGGATTAGAACCTTTTATTGTAGTGGTTATACGATACTAACAATGCCGGCATTGTAGTCATTGTTACTACCGCAACCAATACGATGTAGGCAATACGGTGGAAAAAATTTATTCTAGCTAGCAATCCAGCAAGAAGCGACAACACGAAAACAATTTTATTGCTACGATTGGGATAAAATTTAATTTAAAGCGTTTTAAAATTTTTATGTTACTATAACTTAAATATTAATTAGAATTTTGTAAACTTTATTATACATATGAATAGAGTCCGACCGAAACTTTTACCGAAACTGAAAACGAACACTCATTACGTATCAGTTTCGACTGAATATGTAGCTCTTCTTAAATATTTTAATATATATAATTATTGTTTCAATAATTAAATTATAATATTTATGAAGAAGAAGTACTTATATTCTTT